GGAAAACCAGGGACCTGTATCCTTCGGCAAAGCCCAGCCCGACGGCATCTGGACGTCGCTGCTCATCAAGCTGAACAACAACTTTCTGGAGTGCGGCTACGCGAATCCGGTCGAAGAGCAGTTTCGCTCGAGCGCCAACTTCAACTACCAGCTGTGGCACGATCTCCTGGTGACAGGAATAGTCACTCTCGGTGGACTGTCCAGTGCCTTGTCCGATAAGCACAGTTACGTCACTATCGGGTCGAAACACGATAGGAGAGACGGAATCGAAAAGAACAGTGTGGATTATGGTGAACACAGACTGACAACCGCCTGACTGACAATCTCACTGCACAGTTTGATGTCCGGTGAGTATCATATTGGGACACACGGTTTTTAGATATTCCAGAATGCGATGCAACTATTTTATTAAAATATTGTAATCTTTGAATCGATACTTTGAACTGTGGTTGGTATTGAAATATGAAGGAAAATAGAAAAACATTTTAATCGCTTGGGAAAGTTCTTTTATTGTTCGGCTTTTAGTATTTTTGAAATACATAAAATCTTCATTTCTGAGATTCTCAAGTTTAAAAAATTCCGTCCTTAAATTTTAATTAATTTTTTAACTTTTTTGTGTTGAATCTTCTTCAGTGTAAAACGTTTTATTTAAGCGCTCTTTGCTTAGAACTAAAGAATTATTATAAATTTTATTTCTTTCCTCAAGAGAACCATTCAAGGATTGTATAGGTCAGGTGCGCATCGGCAGCATACTGCTGCACTACTTCACGAATGAAGAAGTGTAAAAAATGCGTGTCAAAATGCGAACTATACGCCGCTGGAGTTTCTGACGTTGCACAGCAACGACAATGCCACTCACCTCGACAGTATCGGCTGTCTGTTGTGCTTCGATACCGACTGCAAAAACGATGGCTACTGCTTCGATAAAGCAAACAGCTACATATGCGAATGTCCAGCCGGCTATGCCGAGGATGACTTCTCCTTTAACATCGACGAGTACATCGACAACAAGTGTCGAAACGGAGCGACATGCGTCGACGGCATCGCGAATTACACCTGCATCTGCGACAGCTGCTGGCAGGGATGGCTGTTAGTATTTTCTCATGTTGAAATCATTTCACGTTTTATGAAAGATTAATATTTTTTGTGATGACAAAGGGATTGTGATATTTTAGCATTATTTCACAAAAAAATATAAACACACCCTGATGTTATCAGCAATAAATTTAAAATTTTATTAGTATTTACATTAATTAATATAATCGTTCCATTATCTTGTCAAGAATTTCTGAACTCGACAACCATGATTTTGGTATCAAACTCGATTATTAAAATCGAGAAAGAAACATTTTAAAAAAGTATTACATTATAAAATCAGAATTGTTTTCTACAAAAACTTCTAATTGCAAGAATGACAAATTTCAGGAAAAAATTATGCTGTAAATAATACTATTTTCTAAATATTAGATTTGTTATATATTAATTACTGACGTGAACCAAACTTTATAGGGCTACAGTAAAGTTTTTGAAATATTCAGTCGACTTATTATGTTAAACGATTTATTTTGGACATCGCAATCAAAATACTGAATATATACCATAAACACGCAAGATTGAAACTACATTCTCTAACGATCACGAACTGATTGCAACACTTTCTTATCAACTCTTATATTTTGTTATAGATGCGACAACGATATCAACGAGTGCGTGATGCTGAATTTCTGCAAACACGACGGTGTGTGCGTGAATGTGTCAGGCTCATTCCACTGCGAGTGACCAGACCAGTTTACCGGTGATTTGTGCGAAAAATTCCGACTGATCACATGCGAGAACAATCCATGCATGCGCGGCGCGACCTGCCTCGACTCGCCGAACCCGAAGACAAGCGATAACTTCACCTGCAACTGCCGACCTGGTTACGACGATCCAGTTTGTAACTCGCTTTATTGTACTCTACCTGGTCAGAGATGCCAGAACGGTAGATGCGAGTTTTTAGAAACGAATTATGAATACGTAATAAAACTATAATTTCCAGGACTCTAGGATTTAAAACTGCTAAAGTTTAAATCGCTGCTGCTTTTTATTACTATTGCATAATTTGATTTTTTTCAAAACTTGAGAAAGTTTAGTTTAATATGTTGAAATATTATACATGTTGTCAAATTTAAATCTCAAGCTTAGGGAATCGGTGGATTTTGATTGTCATTATTGATTCTGGAGTCAAAAAACTTTATTCTTAAATTTAATTGATAAACAGAAGTTTTATATGTTATGAAATTATTATCACGTAGCAACCGAGATGCACCTGCGCTTTTGATTGCACCGGCCTGTACTGCGAGACAAACATCGATGGATGCGCGCCGGATCTCAAGGGCGAACTACCCTGCAAAAACGGCGGCAAATGTTTCAACGCGGTGAACAACTTCACATGCAATTGCCAGAACCGGATACACCGGTGGCAATTGCACCGAGGACATAGACAAATTCGAAAATTCGCAGACAGATTGTGGACACGGCAGGGGCCAAAATCTTCTTGGTAGTTACGAGTGCGTTTGCGATTTTGGCAACTGCGGCTACAATTGCGCAATGTTGGATCCTTGCCAGGAAGTAAGTTCTCTAGAAATTAATAGATAGAAAGGAATTTAGAAGGATTGTGATGTAAAACTGAGTAAAAAATGGAGAGAATAGAATATTTGTAGGAGTTAAAGAATTAGAACATTAAACAAGATTGATTAAATCGAGTCAATAAAATTGGAAAAATTTTTTGAATTTAATAAAATTATGATAATGAAATTAAGACGAACATAATATTGTGAGATATTGTGTTTCATTTTTACGATAATCTTGTTTTGTTTTTATTAGAATTATTGTCAGAACGGTAGCACCTGCAAGTGTGCCAAAGGTGGCGGATACGAATGTGAATGCACTTCTGAATACACGGGACTAAATTATACTGAGATAAGGTGACATTTTTCAGATTAGATATTCCATGAGAAAAAACAAATTAGCTCATGTACACAATATATCTCTAATAACTTAATAAGAATACGCAAAATGTTTTCAGTATACCATTGTCTTGAATTTATGTCAGAATTAAGCAAAATTTATAACCGGTAAATTTTTGCAGTTGATGCCCATTGCATTTATTAAAATTTATTACGCTTTGCGTTTTATGTTTTTATTACTCGACAGTTTTACTTTCTTATAAATAAAATTGATTAAAACTAACAATTAATAAAAAATTATTTTTATACTAATGTGTTTAATCAATATTTTCCAGCGGGAGCTCTTATTTAGTAGCCAAGCCATCGACATAGCAGTGATCGTAGGTCCAATTGTGGGCTGTTTTTCTCTCATCATCATCAGCTTTCTCACAGCGCTCTTCATGATAGCAAGAAAGAAACGCGCTACACGCGGCACGTATAGTCCGAGTGCTCAGGAATTCAGTAATCGTCGAGTGGAAATGGATAATGTGATGAAACTTTCTCCGGAGGAAAGATCGATCTAATCGATCGGTGATTGGTGAGATGTAATCTAAATTATAAAAAATGCAGATAAGTTTTGATATGTGGAAACTGTTTTACAGAGGCACGCGCAGATTTTTCGTAAATTATACAATTTTGCTTGGTTGTCGAAAGTTAAATTAAATTTAATAAAAGCGAATAAATGAGACAACATTCTGATAAAGAAATAAAATTAGACAAAATTACATTTTTCTGAAATTAAATTTATTATCGTGATATAAATTGGAATCAATATTGTATTTTTTATCTCATTTTTTATCAATCTTAATATTATATTTATCAAGAATTGTGACATTGTTTTTAATTCTTAATTAATAGTTAATTTTTTAATTTTGATGCGCTTTAGATGGATTTGGTATGTCGTTGCAAAAATGAAACGTTTCCACATATCGAGAATAATTTGCACAACTTGGGGTCCCGAAACTCGATTCGCCATTGCGAAGTATGTCGACTATAAAACTAGATTGTTTGATGAAGAGCCAAGTCGACGACGATGAA